TGTCATTTCGTTGACGACCTTTCTTTCATTTGCTATAAAAGTTCCTTGAAAAAAGAGAAAAAAAAAAAGATTTTTAGATAACTTATAAATCTTACGATTTGTAATGTAAAATATTTATATATATAATATATTTAAATATACTAATTATTATCAAGAATTATTATACTGATTAATTCCAAATTTTTACTGAATTTTTTTTATATATGAAGCGTTAAATTATGAAACTATTTTATTTAAGGTATTACATTTATTTATAAAAGAAAAAAATAAATTTTTTTTCTTTATTTACAAACACTTTTCATCAATTACGTTATTATATTACTTTTAAAGAATATATAAAAAGATACTTTCTTTTAGAATAAAAAATTCGATTTGTTACCTAACGACAATTCTTAAATTTTATACACATAGAATTAAATTTGTTGAATAAAAAGATGATAACCTCTTTATTTCTTTTCTTGATTACAAAAACTCAGATATGGACTGTATCGATGGTTTTTTGAATTGCCATCAACAGCATTGTGAGTAGGCTTTTGGGGGAATATGATGTATCCCTCCCGGATCATTTCTTTTCGAATCTTTTGGAGAGGTGTTAGTTTTTGATAGCCTGTTATATGTGTGAATAATTATATATTAGAAGATTTTTAAAATTATTTTAAAAAAAAGTATAGTTACCCGAAGTTTTCCTTTTCGGTTCACGAGGAGCGACAGAAAGCATCTTTACTTGACGCGCCTCCTTTTTAGCTTTCTCCTCAGCCATTGCTTTTTTCAGTTTACCAATGATGCGTTCCTTCTTTTCCTTTTCTTCATCGATAATATCCTTTTATTAACAAATGATAATTAATTATAAATAAAGTATAACAATAAGAATGATAGTAATAATAAAAGTATAACAATAAGAATGATAGTAATAATAAATTTTTACCAAATATATATTTCGATAATTTTTGGGATTAGTTGGTAACGGTCGTCCTGGAAGCTTTTGCTGTAAGAAACGTTTCCAAAGTTCTAAATTAACCAATAAATTTATTAAGTTTTTATATACGGTATAAAGATCATAGTATGAAAATTCAAATAGTCATACCCATATCCTCATCGACAAGACGCTATTTAAAAAAACAGTTATTATTAATAAAATATTAAAAAGAGAATTAATTTTAAAATAGCTTACAGGATTCACTTCTTCCAATTGACGCAATTCTTCATCGGTACAGAATTTTAAAATTGATTCCAGTAAATGATAGGGAGTATTTCCTAAATGATAAAGCCCTAATAAAAGTAAATTTTGAATATAAAACTAAATTATTGGGTTTTTTTTTTAAAAAAAAAAAATAAAAATAAAATTATTAATGATTACTAACGATGCTTATTTGAAACTAATGTCATGGTGCATAGTTGTACTAATGACTTGACCCCACTATTCTTTGAACCTAATGTGACGATACTTTGCATATGATTATTATTGTTCATTCGTGGAACTGGCATGTTTGGTAAATTTACTTTCATAGAAGGCTCTCTTTGTATCCGAGTTGTTGGAACAATAAACTTGATCGATTTATCGTTATTGATTTCTCCATCTTCAGAATATTTGCGTTTATTAAGAACTTTTGTCAAGGGTTGATCATAACCTGTAAAAGCAACCGTTGTTACTACATTTTCATTCGCTCGGCGAAAAGACTGAGTTTGTATTTTGTTCGTAGATTCTAATGACAAGAAAGTATCTTTATGGCTACGATCGACTGGTTTTCCTTTCCAAGATGTTACAACTCTATTCACTTGTTCTGTTGATCGAATAGATGTTTCTTTCAACTTTGACTGAATAGATGATGTTTGTGAAACTGAACTATCGAGTACCTCAGATGATACTTTGAACGAAGGTTGTGATGCATTAGTATTTTCGTTAATCTGGGATGATTTTTTACGGTTGTTTAGATTTTCCCAAAATGTTTGAACAGCCTTTTTTGATTTTTCTTCATGTTCTCTCATATCTTTTGTCTTATAAAATTTGAGAGGTTCTTTATTTTTAGCATATTGAATATGAGAATGAGCCATTGTATACATTTCTATCGTTAATGAAGAAACATCTGTTGGACGATTCAAGTCTGGAACTGATGCTTTGGCCGAAGATTGAGATTGTAACGTTCTGTTTTTGGTATTCCGCGATAATTTTGTTTTTTGTGTTGTAATTGTTCTTGATGATTGAAACGAAGTTGGTATCGTAGTCGAATTGATAAATTCTTTGTTACTTTGGACTACTGGAGCAACTATTTGTGAAGTCGATGTTGTTCCCGCTGATTGGATGGAAGTGGTTGGTCGGCTAGATACTAAATCTTCGTTTGATTGAGATGTCGAGATAGGTCGTTTGTTTTTGGATCTATTGTTTAGATTTTCCAAAAATTTTTGCACAACCCTTTTTGATTTTTCTTCATGTTCTCTCATGTCTTTTGTTTTATAGTATTTGACAGATTCTTTTTATTTAAAATGTTTAAGGACGCAACCTTGATCATGGATTTAACAGATTGAGATATTTTAAAGAAAGGGATCTCTCCTATTGGTCCTTTAGAAGAATTTGTTTCATATTTAGCATATTAGGATATTTGTTTTAAAAATATGGGTAATAGCAAAAAGTTAAATAGTGACATGAGAGTAGAAAAAATTACTCTTGCTAAACACGTTTAATTTTATGTAGATTATCAAGCAACGTTTGATTTCAAAAAAAAAAAAACATGTTTATAATAAAATATACAATAAAGTGTTTTATTAATTTGAGAAATTAAAGAATAATTTCACAACAGCTACGCATTAATTAGCTCTTTAAAATAAAACTTCTTTTAAAAGTTCTACGTGTTCTAGTACTTAAACTTTAAATTTTTAACAGGAAGACTATTTTTTAACTTACCTAAGATACTGTAATTATAGGTAACACACTTTAGAAATTTGAAGGATTTTTGAGAAAGAGGTAGTTTTGGGTGAAAAGTTGAAACTTTCAACAAAATTGCGTAGTCTTATTTGGTATTCAAACATGTTGCACACATCGGGCTTTGTTGATCATTTTAACGCAGTATACAAAATTATTATAATATTAAAAATAAAATTAAATGTATTAATTAATATTATATTGAATTCTATAATTTGAAAATTCTTATAAAGTTTTGTAAAAACTTATATTTATGCAATCTTATGAAATTTAACTTTATATAAAATTATATAAGCTTATTATATAATAAAAAAAATATTATATTATAAAATATATCTAAAATTTATATTTACTAATTTTTTTTAATATCGATATAATAATTTACAGCTAATTTCATAATTCCTAAACCATTAATAATTTTACAGTCCCATTCAGTCATAATATTTTATAGTAATTTTATTATCCCTTAGATTGTTTAGCAGGCAAATTTGCTTGCGAAATTAAAAATAATTGTTAATTTCTTTATAAAAT